GGGTCGGGATCGAACCCACGACCTACTGCATACCAGGCGAGGTAGTTAACATCTCGCCACTGTGGTGCCCCTTGAAGGAATCTCATAAGTGGTTTTGTGACGTTGCCTTCGGCAAGCGATTCTATAACTCGGGGTGATGCACTACTCTACGAGAGTTATAAATGGACACCTCGTTTCAATGGATATGACACCAATACAACTAATTTGTAATTCAAATGTTTTTCATGAAAAACCCAAATTGTCACATTTTAGTGGCAATGGAAATGAACCAAATTCGCACGAGCAACATGACCCAAGTATCTTGCAAGTAAAATATGACTTTTACGTAATGTGTTGGGTATTGAATGTAGCTGTGTGAATGTTTAAAAAAAAACACACCACTGGGAAATATTAATCTGGAATGCCCTGAAGGTTGTTCAATTTTCTACAGTGATTAAACACTTCTTGGAGTCCATATTACAATTTTTTTGGGGAGTTTAGGGTGATAAGCCATGAAGTAACCTGCCTCTCAATGTCAGAAGCCTTTTGGTGTTCATACATTTACAAATAGTGTGTGGGTACATTGTTGATTTCGAGTGATGCAATCGGTTGCATTCTCCACTTGGCTTGAGTGGAGTTTTCCAAAAAAAGAAAATCAGATGGAAACTTTACACCTTAAATATGTACACCTTTAAAAGACGTGTTTTTAATTGTACACTATGTGTTGGTGGATTAAGAACAATGTACATTTTCCAAACTGCTGCCTGTAAACTTCTGCAATCATTTCGACAAGCTGTAAATTACCTGAAATGTGTTTTCAAAAAGGAAATGTAGTCTACTTGCTTTTGCTTGTAGAACCAATAATCCCAGCTCTAAAGCTCAATGGGTGTTACCCTCTGACGTGCCTGCATCTGTGTTTTACCCGTCAAAATTCCATTGTGGGTTTTTTGCGTTCACAAACAGAATCCAACCAAGGGCTTTCTTGCGAAGTGGATGTTGTTTGAAGCGTCTTCATCAATCGCACAGTGGAACCGCATTCTCCAACGAATTGGGTCTCCCATGCACCTCCCACTACTGACTATGTTGATTGGGTCATCTTTGGTTTGTGTGGTGCCCCACTACAAATTTGTGTAGTTATCATCTTGTGACCTGCAGTGCCAAATTTGTATATCGTTATACCATTTGTCAAGTGACCAAATCTTGCCAACCTCTGCCTTTTAACATCACCGTGGTATTGGAGTCAATAGCACTGTGATGGTTAGCTGTTGCAGTGTTGTGGTTTAGCGCACTGGATTTGCAATACCGAGGCAGTCGAAACAATTAGCACATTTCACAAATGCCCCTGCCTCTGTGCACCTAGAAGTATATTGGTGGGTATGGCACTCGGTTGACGTGCCAGGCCATGTGTGGTGGGGGTAAAGTGTGGCTCCTCCAGCGTGGAAGTGTAGGATCAAAAATACCGCGGAGAACAACAGCTCTAGAGATGCCCGCTAGCGGAGGCCCCTTCTACTAGCAGTGGTGCGAGCAAGTCATTGCAGGGCTGCACCTTTACCGTGCTGATGAAATGTGCACCTGGGTGGTTGCACTGCGCACTGCTTTCCACACTTCATCATCGATTCTTCTCTCGACAAAGGCGCCCTGAAATATACATTAATGTTTATTTGTCGTGCGTAATCCTAACCAGCCACTGGAATTACCAAAAGTCGCACGTTGTTATGACTGCGGTGATGGATGGGAAACATTTGCCAGAAACTTGTTTTGCGTGGTGCGGCGTGAATTGCAAAGTTCAACTTGTCAGCGAGAGCAACTCCCTCGGGGCACGAAATTCTCTTGGCAGTGAGGGTTCTCTCCTCGGATAACCCCGAAATCATGGGAGATTTTAACTAGCTTGCCTGGTATACAGGAGGTCGTGGGTTCGATCCCGTCCCTGACGCCTGTATATTTGGAGTTTGCATGTGTCTCTCTCCCCGTGGTCGCATGGATTTTTCTCCTGGGCCCTCCGGTTTGTCCCTCCACATTTTAGAAACGCGCATTGAGAGTATTTTGCTGCTATACATTTGCACGCGATAAGCCACTTTTGCTGAGCTATCATTTGTGGCCTCTGAAAAAGAGCTATATAGCGGAGTGGACGTTACCTGGTAAAATTTTAAATAGTTAATGTGTCTATCATTATGAGACCTCCTTTGCCAGTAACAAGATAGAGGAATAGGTTTTACCCTTCAAACTGGCACAAAAACTGACACCCTCAATACTCTGATAGTGCGCTGTTTTTGAGTTGTACGCCTTTTGGCGTCTTCTGGTCCAACACCAATGGAGACTAGGCTCTAAGAAAAGACGTCTCGGGTGTGGACCAATCAAATTCAAGGACAGTGCATATTATTATCAGAGTTGTCTTTTTTGTTTGCAATTTGACTGCTTGTGTTGTGGTTATTGCAAACATGATGCCTTGAATAAAGGTGTCAGTTTTTGTGCCAGTTAAAAGGGTAAAACCTATTCCTCTATGTGTCTATCATGCTATGGCAGGCTTTAGTTGGAACCTTCCTTTCCCCCTCCTATAGTTCCAAAGCACCAGCAGAGACGCCAGTTCTCTTGGATGCTCCTAACGAGGGATGTTGACAGCACCAAGATACAATCTTAATGTTGTGCACAGCTTGCTATTTCTCTAGTTGTTCCCCCATTGGGAGATGTTTGATTTGACAGTTTGTGTGTGCGTTCGTGTGTGCGTGTGACCGTGTGTTTGCGGCCGGTTATTGAAATGATGGCACACCGAGCTGCAGTCTCGATGGTCCACATTCAATTCCTTACTGGGCATATCGATGGCATTTGGAACGAGAATCTCAGGAGGTTGGCTCGGCCTAAAATAGTTCATACTTTAAGCTCTTGTCTAATGAACAGAGATGGGGAGAGAAATGTGGAAGGGCATGATAGGTGTGTACAAGCAGTATTTACCAAAATATAGTAGCTTAGCTAAAACGGAGGTCTGTTTTTCTGTGCGTTTGGGTGGTAGTGTCGCGGTTAGCACACAGCACTACGAACCCGGCGACCCGGGTTCAATTCCCGCTAACAGCCAACACCAGTGACGATGATCCTTACCAGCCTTGAGCCTCCCTTAGATCTACTCAGCCTCAAATGAGAGCCCTGTGCGATGTATAAACACCGTCACTGGGAAGGCAAAGGCTTGGTACAAATTTCTCTGGAATTAATACACTTGGTTATTTACTCTGCGAATTTATTGATAGACTAGCCACAATATAATTCACAGTACGATTTAGAAGAAAATTGTGCAAAACGTATTATGCAGTGTCTTGGTTAATTGAGGGATGTAGTAAACTAACTCAATGTTATTTATTTCCAAGTGGCACATAGTTACCCACAATTGACAAAATGCACAATAAATATACAATGTTGCTGTACTGCGTTGCAAGGGCTCTCACGGCATTCTGGGAGGGCCCTGACTCCAGGTACCCCATCGGCGGCTGTTTACCGGCCCAAATCATGCTGATGAGGGCCTGTTTGCCACCCGCAGGTCATTATAATGCAGAGTAAATATATTCGGATGGCTCTCTACCGCAATATTCTTACCCCCTTGGACTATTTAAATAACCTCGGCGTTATAATTTGATCCCAGTCCCAAACACTTATTTGCCAGTATATACATCTTCGAAGTACAATACAACACTTTTGTGCGTGGAGGGAGGCTACCCAGTTGTGAGACGAAGAGAAGTTAATGGTTTGCCGCCTCCAAGCTGCGAGATTGATTAATGAGGCCTATTAGCTGTGTGTGGACCAGATGGTTCTGTTCTTGTTAAACAACAGAACTGTATCTGCTTATTAAAAATAACATGTCGATATACAGTATATACTTCAAAAATCGCATCGTTACCTTGCGTATTTTCTTTGATGTACAAGTGCCCTCACAGTGACAGGATTTATTTACACTGGTTTTTTTATTTTGTATTTAGGCATTGTATATTGTTCATTTTGTTTATTTTTTACAATAACTTTTAACACGGGTTTCATGTTTAATCATTTAAGTTTTTGTTCTTTTTATCTTAAACATAATAATTCAAAATTTCACGATGCGCTTTTCATCCTAGGATCCCGATGCATTCCCTCCCTGCAATGCCAAATAACTGCTGCCAATGCCGTCGGTCTTGGCCTGTGGCCATCCTTGTGATAGGAGCTGCTTTGCTCAGTTTTCAGTGTAATTTATTAGGTGTAGAGCCCTGTGAGCCATGAGGCTCTTGACTCGGGTGCAACCGCAACAAACAAAAACACGAACAAAGAACATCTTAAAGTGATGACGCGCAACAGAAACATCCAGGAAAAAAACAGTAAAATCTTCCAGAAAAAAGCAACGTACATGAACGCTGTGTGCAAAGATCCCAATGGGATGCAAGTCTAACAATAACAACCATAAGACAATTTAGATAAAGTTCTCAGACTAACTCCGTACTTGACTAAACATGGCTTAACCATACGTTTTCGAAATCACCAAAATAAAGCTATAAAAGCAATGTAACATTGGTCATAGGAACTGTGATTCAAATTTAACAATAAACGATATACATAATATGTACGACCAAACTTTGCAGCCATAGCTGGCAGCATGAGTCACTCCATAACAGCAGGAGTATCAGTAGGAGCATCAACATTTTTCAATGCTCTAATGGGTGTTACCATCTGACGTGCCTGCATCTATGTTTTTTACCCGTCCAAATACCATTGTGGGATTTTTATTCTTAGGCGAATCTGGAAATAGCAGTGTGCACGCATTTGATCTTTCCATTCGCAAACAGAATACGACCAAGGGCTATCTTGCTAAGTGGATGTTCTGTGAAGCTTCCCCATCAGTCACACAGTGGAAACGTGCTTGCCAGCTCACATCAATGTTCTCCAACGAATTGGGTCTCCCGTACACTCCCGCACTGAATGTATTGATTGGGTCATCTTGGCCTGTGTGGTGCTCCACTACAGACTCCGCTAACTCTGCTTGACGTGATGTATCCTTTGTTCCGCAGACCTTTCGCTGGCCGCTGGCTAGCGCAATCAATGGAAGTGAAACCTTGGAAGTCCGAGTTTACAATTACAGTAAGCTGCTCTCTAAAAGGTAGGCCGCATGCACCGGTGGATTTGTGTGTTTGTGTGTGCGAGTGCTCGCATACAATAAAAAGTGAGCAATGGTGTATTGCACTCAGCTGTGCGAACAAGGACGCACGCATGTGTACACGGATGCGTTTGGTGACAATTCACACGAGCAGGTAATTCACGCAATCGTGTGGCTAAGCTGGTCATACTGTCTTGCAAGGTTCAAGTGACCAAGGCCAGCACCCATGCTATTTTGAGTAGAAAAAAACAATGTCCTTTTATATAGCGTATAAAAAAAAAACTCAACACATTCGTCAATAACACTGCCTTTAAAATAGAAAAAGATTACATAACGATCAACGTTTAGGGTAATATGCCTTCTTCATATGTCCATGTGATTATTATAGATAATGCATGTGATAATTATAGATAATGCATGTGATTATTACAGATAATGCATGTGATTATTACAGGTAATGCATGTGATTATTACAGGTAATGCATGTGATTATTATAGGTAATGCATGTGATTATTACTGATAATGCATGTGATTATTACAGATAATGCATGTGATTATTACAGGTAATGCATGTGATTATTACAGATAATGCATGTGATTATTATAGGTAATGCATGTGATTATTACTGATAATGCATGTGATTATTACAGATAATGCATGTGATTATTACAGATAATGCATGTGATTATTACAGGTAATGCATGTGATTATTATAGATAATGCATGTGCTTTGAAGAATGGCCCTTGCCTCAAACGTCACCTCTAACAAAATTTTCCTTCAAGTGTCATTGACAAATGTGATAAAGAAATAAAAAAACAATATTTTTCGTGCACCCACTGCCAGCGCGGTATCACAAATTAATAACGCTTTATTATGGAGCATATATCATTGCGCATTTAATTTCCCCCGTTTGGACACGTCACTCCTCAACCCCTCGTTTTAAAAAAAAAAAATCAAAAGTACCTGTGAACGTGCAACAACAGGCGTGTGGTGGGCAGAATGAACTTGGGCGTGACACTGACTGGCGAAGCGCTCCTCATTTGCCATGTCGTAGCCTTCGAGGTGTGTTCTCCCACGCGTGTGACATTTGACGTCGAACGCCCTATGGCGTTTCCTTGACGGTTATTGTCAGATAATTTGAATCCGTGTTCTGTGACAGACGTATGACTGTTCCGAGCTGGGTAAAGGGTTTTCCTAGCCCGAGGTTAGGGAGATATCTGAGACTCCTCTCGCCACAGTCTGACCACCCGGGTAACCCCGCTTCCCAAACTTCAAAACCCCCTGGGCCTACGAGTCGCCACTTTGAAATGTCAATGCTAATCAGGCCGTGAGAGTCCCCTAGTCTGGCTACCACGTAGCTCAATGTACGTCACAGAACCTGAATGCATCGTCTCAGTTAGCCACAGGGGAACTCTGATGCATGCTACCAGCTACTATAGCATAGGATTTAATCCACTCCGTCTTTATACAATATTGAATGGTTTTCTAAACGCACGACCAAATGACCCTGTTGGAGCATAATTCATCCCAGCCTCTCGGTAGCTTGCCTATTTATTTCTGCTGGTGGGATTTTTTTTCCCTACCCAACGGACGCTTCTCAGCAGGTTCAATGTGAAATTGGATGCAATGAGGTGAAGTTTGCAGTCACTGTAATGTGGTTTATTGGCTGCGGCCACCTTATATGTTATACCATAATGTAATATTATTAAAGATCTGGATGCTGTCTTCGTGTACTGGAAGTATGCTGGCCCGATTCAGTCTCCAAGCATGGCAGTTGCCAACCATTGGATGAGTTTCACGCAGCAGTATGAATGAGCACACCACAGTTGGTGATGTAAAGTGCGTGTTCTTCCCAGTCTCTTACGAGATGCCTGGTCAGCAAGGAAAGAGTAGGCTAACAATAACCATAGAGGAGCTCCGCAACGCCCTCGTGTGGAGGCCCTTCTGCCAGCAGTAATGTGAGCAAGCAGTCGGAGTTCCTGCACCTTCACCTTGAATTCAAAAACACAGAACTCACAATATTTTCTGCCATAAATTGAACGTAGAGACCATGAGAAAGGCCACCAGTCGGGCAGTGATAGTGCATGCACTGTGGAGGCGAGAGTTGGAGGGATCGCGCAAATGCGGGCATTGAAGTTGTCACACCATGGCTTGCAAGGAGAGGACAGTACAGCAAGTGGACTAATCACCATCTGTTTCCATCTGTACGGGGGTCGTGTGTTTTGCCCCCTTGTGAGCGTGGATTTTATAAGGTTTCCTCCCACTCTTGATTTATTGGCTGAAAGCAGCTTAATATAAAAACCCGATGCAGGGCCCTCCTGAAAGAGAGTTCTAGGACTTAGTGTGGGGTCTCCTGGACGAATACTTAAATTATGATTTAATCAAATCATATATTTATACGAGTGGCCTTTCGTGATGAATGTACTACAGATGAATCTTGACTTAAAGCTTTCGTGACTGCAGGCATTCGTATTCTTTGGGTCTTTGGATAAAGTCACGTTTCGATCGCAACACAAGTGGTCGTCATCAGGAAAAGGCAAACTGTTTATAAAGGTTTGAAATGGGCGTAGTCCAAATGTCAGCAGCATGGGCGGGGCAGCTTATGCTAATGTGAGTTGTGGGCAGCGACCTATCTACGTGACTTTACCAAAAGACCCAAAGAATATGTACTACAGATGCTTTATATTCTTGGTTCTTTCAGTAAAGTCACGTAGAAGGGAAACAATAAAATAAAATGTTTCCCTTCTACGTGAATTTACCGAAAGAACCAAGAATATGAATCCCTGCAGTCACGAAAGCTTTAAATCAAAATACAGATGCTTTGTTTCATAAATGTGCACGGCATGGTGGCGAGATGTTAACTACCTTGCCTGGCATACAGGAGGTCGTGGGTTCGATCCTGAACCTGACGCCTGCTGCTGCTGTATATTTGGAGTTTGCATGCTCTTTCTCCCCGTGGTCACGTGGATTTTTCTCCAGGTCCTCTGGTTTTTCTCTCCACGTAAAAAAAAAATGTTTTGAGTACATATATCACTACAATAAATTTCCACGCGATAAACGACTTCGTTGAGCTTTCATTTGTGGCCAGGTTGCTTCTGCAAAATAATATATAGCTCCGTGTGCCTTATCGGCTAAAGTAAAACAAAAATGTGTTTTTAGTTTGTGAGGAGTGGGTGGTGGAATGGTTTGCACACTGTTCTCTGATCTCAGGGGCCTAACTTCAATTCCTGAATATATCTATATTTTAACCTGTCTTGCACTTCCTCTGCATTAACTCGGCCTTGAATGTGTTTGTATGAGCCCCACGCCAGTCAAGGGGGGTTGCCAAACGACTCAAGCATGGTTCTGATGTTGTGTAATATACGATACAGTGCTGACGTGTTTAAAGCTATTTGTATAAAGGGAACCTAAACCAAGTAATAAACGGAGCAGGTTTAACAGCGTGAAAAACGCTGCACTACGGAAAATAAACTTTAACACACATCCAGTGCAGGAAAGACTCTGGCCCTCCTCTCTAAGCACATTACCGTAACAACTAGTGAAGCATTCAGAGCACATTATTACCTTGCTGGTCTCGTCGAGGAGCGTAAACCATCACGCAAACGCCGGCCATCCTCGCAGCAGCTTTCTGCAAGCCATCGAACAAAGACGGTTACTGCGTGGCACGCTTTCAGATACGCTTCTGCTCCAGAAAACCACTGGAGCAATGCCCTTTAAATAAAAAAAAAAAATCGAGATTGTAAACGTAAGTCTTTAGAACAGATTTTTGTGTTTAATTTGCTATCTTTCTCCCACACCATCCGATGAGCACCGTTGGCTCACATAGGGGCCCGTAAGAAGTTCACCGCACACACACACACGCACACACGCGTGTGCATAGTCTCCAATGTATTACACGCGTGAAGTTACGGCCACTCCTTAATAGAGGCCTCGCACGCCAAGTCGGTCATGAGGGTTTCTTCACCACACTGCACCGAGCTGGTCCGTTGCAGGTTTGTGAAAGGGGAGGAAGGCCAGAACTGGTTCGGTTATCACTCCTCGCTTGGCGTTCACCATCGCCGGGGATTGAACTCTGGTAAACCAGGTTGTTATTGCGGTGTGCTAATTACTGCGCCGCCGCAGTAAATTATAATTGGCTTCATGAAGTGCTTAATGCTTCAGGATTCCTTCGTGAGAGGGGCTTAATTTGCAAAGCGAATGATTAATTATTCTCGAAATTATGAATCGTTAATGATTTCAAACCGATTTTATATATATATAAAAAAAGTTTTTTTTATTAGTTTGCAGAATTTACTGTTAATAATAAGATGGAACGATTGTGTTTGTATTCATGTTTAAGTTCATTAGAAATTAGAAAATAAACGTTGAATTTTGTGATGCACACTTTCCCAGTGGCAGCAGAGAATCGAGTAAACCAAAATGTAATTTCTATTTACTCTAATTCATTTTCAAAGTGCCTCGTGTGCACTACTAATGCTATATAGCAGCCCGATGCCAAAGGGTTTTGTTTTATTTTTTATATGGCTGTATGACATGGTTGCAGGCAATATTCCGCCCATTATTACGAACCATTGCCATGGCAAAAGCGCACATGACATGGGCATATGTGGATCTAAGATGGGGAAGAAATGAAAAACCCCACCATCATTGTCTCAAGATGAAAGTGCACGTGAAATAGTTTCATTTTACAAAATATGCACTATGTTGAACCTCTTTCGCACCATCCGTAGCCGACTGTGCTAATCGGAGGTACGGGGGAAAGACGACAAATTAAACACACGCAACAAATATACATTTATACATTCGAACGACTGGCTTGTCAATTACGTAATGTCGTTCAAGGGCCATAGCTGGTTGTTCAGTAGAATATTTTCACAGCGATCCATTTTGTTACGCAATCATTTAAATACGACATTCATAAATTAGAATATAGCTTGCGATTACATCGCGGAAACAGTTACTTGAAAGCAGAGCATCCTGCCAAACTTGCTCGAGGTGGT